GTGCAGATACTTCAAACAACTCACAACTTGTTACTTCATCTGAAAGCCATTTTAAAGGGACAGTTAAATATCTTTATTGAATTAATGAATATGAGGGAAGACATGATGTTCTAAGACCATTTACGGTCTCTGAATTAAGTAGAAAATCTCTCTGTGTTTTTAATGCCTCTTTTAGGACGTGGCATAAATGAGTCAAAGGCCATATACCAATAAGCAATGTTAATGCTTTTTCGGTAAAACCGTTCCTAACAACTCTGTTAGATGGAGAGAAGTCAACATTTTACAGGATCAATTTGAATAATATAGTGCTAGATTTTAGGAGATAAAATTCAGCTAAGGAATTATTCATTAAACTATCAGTGTATTTCCCTCTCAAAAATATTGAAAGAGAAAGAGTTATATTTAGTCAAATGGAAGAAAATTTTCTTACACTGGCATTTTCAACATGGCAGTCAGAACAGTCCAAAGAATTTAATTAGGTAACTAATATGAATTTGATATTTGCCCTCAGTTCAGAGTGGCGATTTCAGGCATAAGGACAGGTCTACAGTACAAAAATTGAAAATAGGGCCTGAATGAGTTAATTGACCTTGACTCAAGATCCTCTCTGAAAACAGACTTACTGCATATTGCTTAAAAAAAGGAGATCCCTACATAATCTTGCTGAACATGAGCAGATGAAAACTGAGTTGGAATGTAAAAAGGTTTTGGAAGTTCCTGGAGGGCAAATTATACGATGAGTCAGGTTTATTGAACATTCATTATGTGTCCAATGCTTTGCAAGATGATCTGAGAAGATGGTGGGAAATATGGACACGTTGTTATTACCTTGGAGGAAGCTACAATGAGTGAATTTTAACCTGAAAACCTAAGAACAAATATTAAATTTGGAAATTTAGGTCTATTGGTCCTATTTTGGGTAATGCTTGGTTTACGTTGTTTTTTCCTGTGTCTTTGATCGTAATAAAGGTTTAATATTTATCACTGGAATTTTTTAAGGTCCACGTTAAAGTAGTACCAAAAATTTCTCCAAAAAAAAAAAAAAGGCAGATGAAGCATTAATGATAATGACAATGATTAATGAAAAACATTTAAACTTAAAAAGTCCAATCTGCCTATAATCACAAACACTAGTTTCACAGAAGAATGGGAGACCAAATAGAGTTAGAACGCAGACTTTGTGGCATAATTCTGAGGAAATCAAAATAGCAGCTCTAAGTTTATTTGGGAACTATTAACAGTCAATCAATTGATTTGTAAAAATCAATCCTCACCAGTCACCTGTCAGCCACACTCCAGCACCCCTAGAAAATCCTCAAAAAACAGAGCCTGAGCAAGAAAAAGAAACTGGGCAAATGGAAACTATGTTAACACTGATGAGAAATCAATACAAACATGGCCATGAATTTCAAATTGTAGGAAGAGAGAAGATGTCTATATGCTTATTCCTGCTGTGGTTTTTACTGCCTTCTTTGCTCTTAAAGTGCCTAAGCACAACTGCCATTCCACAAAAATGTAAATCCTAATTATGGACAAATCTACACCAAACACACACACACACACACGCGCGCACGCACACACATAATACATCACATCTATGGCATTCGTTTGTAAAGGCACTTCCAGGGAACAAGCATCATTCCTTTGTAAGGCTCTCTCTGTGGTTATTTGTTTTCTGGCAATGCAGAAATTCCTCTAAATAGGTCATCATAATACTGATAATCATCTCCAAGGTAACCAGCTTTCAAGGCAACTGGCTGAGGATTACATTTCTGGGTGGGGGAAATTACATTAGAGACATGGTAGTGACACAAGAAGATGCAATCTAGTGCCGTTGAAATTCCCTTTATCAAATATTCTCAAAGCATTTATCAAATATTCTCCTCATAATCTGAATTAAGTATGATTTATTTGGGAGACATTTGTAGGTAATGCTCAGTCTCTTACTGTACACAATAAAAGGCACAAGTGTTTGGTTATTTCTTTGACTGTGTAGGTTCAGCAAATAGGTCTAGGTGCTTGGGGTTTCTCATGCTAACCCAGAGCCCATATCTTAGCGCAAGTCTAGAGATAGGTATTTATTCTCACTTCCTGTCTGTGCCTGCTACTAACTGTGTAGGCGTTTGACAAACTCAGAAGAGAGATTGGATTCTTATGGGATTGTGCAAGAAAAATCTTGAGCATAAGGTGTCATGAAATTGAAGAGCTCTTCTGACAAATGTGTTCCCTAGATATGAAGGAATCCAGAATAACCAACTTCTTAGAAGTGCTCTCAAGTTTAAGTCCTTGAAATGTATTTTAGCCAAGAGGAGCTGGCACACAACCCAACCAAACCACTTCAGCTTGATTTCTTTTTTTAAATCTGAGTCTTCAAGTATTCAATACTTGAATAATTACGAGGAAGGAGCTATTCATGGTAATTTTATATTTGCAGACCACAGATAGGATATTTAGTTAAGAGTTAAAAGAACAAGTTGAGGCCTCCAGCTGAAGGTGATAGAGTGAAAACAGGTCATAGAATCTTCCATTTTTCTCTCACAACTAAAAAAGTGAACACCAACCCCAAGAAACACTAGCTCTCTCCTTCCAAACAACAAACCAGCTACCAAATTAAGGCAAGGAGTGCCCCTTACTAGTATGGACACCGAAACAAAACAAAACATGGGCATGTACACACGCATGCAAAATGCAGGCCAGGAACAGAGAAGATTCTGGAGTGACACAGTGTAGCTCCTAACCTTGACCTTCCTCCCTGCCCCTCTGAAGCTTCACTGGCGAATTTGATGAATTTTAAGCCTTCATTATTGCCCTCAGATCTCCAGAAAATTGAACTGAATGACTATCCTTATTTTTTTTCCTCTCTTTTGACTAAGGGGTGGTGGAATGGCCATTAGGCAGAAGTGGGCAGCTTCTTTTGGATACCACGTTGTATCAGTCAAGATGCCACAATGAATATAAACTCACAAGAAAGGGGATTTTTGTCTCATTTGTTTCCAGTGCCTAGATTAGAATAGTGCCTAGTAGAGAATAGGTACTCGATAAAAATGTGTTGAATGATTGTGGAGAAAAAATCCCAGAGTGTCCCCCTTCAGGGTGGATATGAGTCCTGATTGTAGGGAGGGGTTAAAACTTAGTTCAAAATGCCTATCAAATCCCAGAGAGAGCAGAATCCAGGAGTTCTAATTCACACAGATGTCACACAGCTTCCCTTCAGTCTAATTCACACAGATGTCACATAGTCTTCCCCTCCAGTCCCCACAGGAAAGTGGGTGGTATTCAATACCAAGTTCTCAAACCATAGCTCAGTGTGGAAACAAGTCAGAGTCAATGGACATGGAGTCAAGGAGAAGTCACGGACACTTGGTCAGAACAAAGAGAAGGTCCGGATAGAACAAGGTTGGGGGGAACAAAACAGAGACAAATATCCAAACATGCTAAGGCAACGCTCCCAAATAAAAACAAACAAAACCAACCAACCCTTAAAAGAAAGGAACATGGCATGCAGAGGAATGATAAAACCCTCACTCTTAAAGAAAACATAATCCAAAGCACAAAACAAAATTCCTCAGCAGCGCTTTGTACTATGAATCAAGTTAATGAGAACATGCACTCCGAAAAATATGAGCTCAATGATGAGATGAGAGAACACCAGGAAGGTTACAGAATTAAAGAAGGTTGAGGACAAAAACAACATTATAGAACAATAAGTAAAGGTGACATAGCAAGGAATGAAATAAACATGGCTGCAAATAAAATTACTGACCTAGAAGAAAGGCTTGTGAATACAAGAGGAGCAAAGGAATTAGAAGGTAATAGATTGGAGTTCCAAAGCACTTAACATAATTGAGGATCCCTGGAGCAGAGGATCCAATAAATAGAACAGGAAAAGTATTTGCAAATGTCATACAAGGAAGTATCACTAAAGACAAAGAAGCCTACAGATTGAAAGAGTATACCATGTTCTAGGACATATTGATAACAGAATGCTCAATACTACAAACATATCCCTGACTGAATAATTGAAGTTCGAGAATACAGACATTCCTAAGGCATTGAAGCAGAAAAAAAGTCACAGACCAGGAAGCAAAAATTAGGCTGCCCTCAAATATCTCCACAATAACATTCAACACGGAAGCAATGTGTAGGCCAACCAACATGTCAAGACAGATACTCTATCATGAAAGAATTTCAGTCAAGGATAACATATAATTGGGTCTTGTGAATTTCTGGTTTCAGTGATTCGGGGTGATGGTGTAGCCAACCTTAGAATATCTATCCTTGCATCTTCCGGTGTGTCTTCTGAACTCTAATCATGTCAGGTGTTTCATGGAAAAGGGAACTGTGGTCAAACCACTTGGAAACACAGAATCGCTGTCGAAACACAGAATCGCTGTAAGTCGTGCCTTATAGATTTATAATACATATCAGCAAATAACTGACTCTGAGAAACTTTTGCATTAGAGAAACTTGATTTTCCTGTAGAAAACATTCTTCAATCCAACATTTTTACTGACATAAATTGTACTCCCCAGAACACCTATTAACATTTTGCTAAAAGAGTATTTGATAGATTCCATTTGGAGAAAGTTTGATCTATGATAATGGAGGAGGAGAAGATTTAATAACTCAAAACAGTGGTCAATCCAAAAGCAAATCATATTTATTTGCCTACTTTCCCCCTTAAGGACAGTAATACAATTTTATGATTCATTCATTTTAAAGGACTGAAATTTAAAAATCCAGTTCTAGGAAGGAAAAAGTACTCCCAGGAGAGGGGTGACAGTAGGACCACTTTGAAAGTACTAACAAACTCTCCTCTAAAGCAGCCATTTTCAATCTTTAAGCACAGCTCAATTTCACATCTGCTTTGTTGAAAGGATTGCATCTTTGAGGGCTGCATTCCCACCATGGAGCTCTCGACATGGAGAGACTTCAGCTCAGTATAAATGAGAGAAATTCAAGGAGGTGTATTGAAACTGAACTCTCTTTTTCTTCCTTAGGGAAGCAGCAACAATGTAACTAAGAAAGCAAAGGAGTAAATAGCTTCTATTCCAGAAGAAAAACAAAGCCACCACTGCTTTGCAATACTTTTCCCTACTTCTCAGCAATTTTCCAATTTACATAAACAGTTTCTGACAGTGTGCAGTGCCTTCTAATTAGGTTACATACCACTGTTTCAGAACTGTGGAAGACTTTGCTGTCCACTCACATCCTCTCTTAATGCTACTTTGAACTGGAATGAGTATTTTAATTCAAGACTGGCTTGCCTCTATTTCCCTCCCATCCTGTCAGGAGACAGATATGTGCCAGGAATGTGGAGTGAAAAGTGGGAGGGAGCTTTCAGCTTTCAGATGGTGTTATATTTGTCCGTGTAAGATATCTCCAGGGAGCTGATGGAGGTAAGAAAGCGGGTTGAGGAGTAACTAAGAGAAGGTCGAAGGATTTCAAGGAGTGAAGGAAGGGACCCATTAACTGTAATGCGGCAGAAACAGCAAGAATCACCAGGATATGCTGCCCCCTGCAGGATTGTTTGGTAAAAACACACCAGTTAAAATTGACTACTTAAACGTTAAACAATCTCAGTGTTGACAGGATGTGAGCAATAGAAATGCTCATATTCTTCTGGTAGGGTGTTATTTGGTAATGTCTAGAAAAGCTGAAGATGTACATTCCCTACATCCCAGAAATCTCACTCTTACGTAAACATCCTAGAGATACTCCCCCATGTTTGGATAAGGAGACATGTATAGGAGTGTCCCTTGTTGTGCTATTTGTGACAGCAAGAAATTGGAAACAACCCAAATATTCATCAACAGAAAAATGTAAACCTCAGTTGGGGTATATTCCTACCATGAAATGCTATATACAGTAATTTAAAAGTAACAAGTTCACATTAACCAACATGGATTCATCTCAAGAATATAATTTGGAGAGACACATTCCTGCATAAGGATACATAATATGATACCACTTGTATATATAAAGTTTGAAAACACATAAAATACACAGAGTACAATATCATTTATATAACTGAAAACATGCAAAAACAAAACTGTATGTGTAATAAAAACATACTTAGGAATAATGAACATAAAACTTGAAACTAAGCTGAGAATCACAAACAGCAAATTTAAGATAACAGTTACCTCTGAGGAGAGAATGGGTGAAAAAGGATAGGAAAGGGTACCCAAGGTATTGTGATTAGATGTGCTAGGTTTTGTTTCTTTTGTGTACTGGGTACATGAGTATTCATTATATTATACCTAATATCGTAAGGCCTGAAATATTTCATTAAAAAAATTGAGTGTCATACAGAGTGAAGTAAGTCAGAAGGAGAAATACAAATACCGTATGCTAACTCATACATGTGGAATCTAAAAAAAAAAAAAAAAGGTTCTGAAGAACCTAGGGGCAGGACAGGAATAAAGACGCAGACATAGAGAATGGACTTGAGGACACGGGAAGGGGGAAGGGGAAGCTGGGACGAAGTGAGAGAGTGGCATGGACATATGTACACTACCAATTGTAAAATAGATAGGTAGAGGGAAGCAGCTGCATAGCACAGGGAGATCAGCTCCGTGCTTTGTGTCCGCCTAGAAGGGTGGGATAGGGAGGGTGGGAGGGAGACGCAAGAGGGAGGAGATATGGGGATATATGTGTATGTATAGCTGATTCACTTTGTTATAAAGCAGAAACTAATGCACCATTGTAAAGCAATTATACTCCAATAAAGATAAAAAAAAAGACTGAATGAGAATGTGTGTTCCATTGTTCTCCGTGCTGCCTCAAATTGTACTACAGACACTTTGGATGATTGATAATTGGTACAGGCTTTACATTTTAGATTAAGTTAAAAATATATTGCTGTTGTACAGTTTCTCAGGAAACGAAGCACAGAATGATTACGTCCACACACGTATATGTATATCTTCTGATTTTTGTTGTGTTTTTACTGTTTATGACTACTAAGTCATAAGCATGGTTTCCTAGTGGCCAACAGAGGAGCTGTTTTTTCCGTTTCTCGCTGAAGGTGTAATCATTTTCTGGAGCATATTGTACCTCTCCTCCCTCCTTTCTTCATCAACAGCACATGTGTCAAAGAATTTGTTAGTCCCAAACTTTTCTTTAAGAGCAGAAATAAATTTCCAATTGTTTGTTGTTTGAAATATTAATGTGGCTGATCGTTTTTTACTCATTCTCTTAGCAAAAATAAATTGGACTGAGTCTTTTTCCTTCCATTTTTACATTTAATCAATAACATAAATGATGTATGAGAAGGCTTAGTTTATAATTAACTGCATTTTGAAAAGATACTTGACAAAACGTGAAACTGAATTACCAATGCTATCATTTTTCTATCATTCACATGTTTGTGTTTGAAAATGTGATTATCTCTTATTTTATCACAAAACCATGCATATAAACCCCCAAGTCTACTTAGAAGAGGATTTATATACATACACATCAAATGGTAATGAAGATGAAGCTGTATGTTTCTGAGAAGTATTTGAACATGAGAGAGAGGAAAATAGCAAAAGTGCTGAACTTCTTGTCTTTGCCATTCAGCCTTGATGCTGAATCCTCCTCGAGGGGCTTTCGGGCAAATATCTACCAAACCTTTTCTTTCAGGAGGCCAAAGTGGTCGTAGGACTGTCTCACAGTTCCTTCTTCAATTTCTTGACCTTGCCTCCCTGCCTTGTTTCTTTCTGTCTGCCCTCCTGACGGCTCAGACTTAGCCTTCACAGCTCCCTCCCTCTTATTGGTTTACTTTCTCAATAGAATTTTCCCTAGGTTTGGAATGAAAATCCTTTAATAGGTATTTACACTCCAGAAAGCGAAAACAAAAATGGTTCTTAATGTAGCCGGCACCGTACCACTCCCGTTTAGCTGCACTAAGGCAAACTGCCCGGGGATGCCAAAAGCTCAGAGAACCTTGAACTTGCATGCATGGCTGGGATCCTGATTGCAAACAGGTAGGTTGATCTGAAGCTTGCAGAACTGGTTCTGTGGCAGCTTAGCTCAGCACTTTCTCCAAGCAAATCCTAAAATATACAGATTGTCTCTACCATTGACTTGTAAATTGGAAAAACGTCTGGGGAGAGCAGTTTGGCAACATTTTATGGCAACATTTTATCAACGTTTAAAATGCACGTTCCCTTCCACTCAGGGATTCTGCTTGGAAGATTTTATGCTCTAAATTCCCTTTCCTAAGAATGCAAAGGTACATGTAAAAAGAGATTCAAAAAGTATTGCTTATGAAGGCAAAATCACTATGTACAATCTCTGTATATCTACTACTAGAGTATGATTTAAAAATTATGGTCCATTCACACATTGAAATGGTAGGCAACTGTTCTGTGCTGTCATGCAGAGATGCCTAAGTGGTAAAGCCAAGGAATTTCTGGGTGGTGCTTTACTGTTCCTTGCTTTCTAGCACGCACCTTTCTTTGATATTGACAATTGATATTATATATATATATTTTTTGTGTGTGTGTGTGTGTGTGTGTGGTACGCGGGTCTCTTACTGTTGTGGCCTCTCCCGTTGCGGAGCACAGGCTCCGGACGCGCAGGCTCAGCGGCCATGGCTCACGGGCCTAGCCGCTCCGCGGCACGTGGGATCTTCCCGGACCGGGGCACGAACCCATGTCCCCTGCATCGGCAAGCGGACTCTCAACCACTGCGCCACCAGGGAAGCCCTTGATATTATATTTTATATAAAGTGTATTACAACAGAGCTTCAAGACCTTTTCCCAACCAGATTGCCTTCATCAAGTCTCTCCTATATCAACATTATAGAGCTATCACTATAGCAGAATTACATTTTTAAAAAAGTAAAATAGTATGATAATATTTATACATAATATAGATTCTGTGCTTATATATGCATGGAAAATTTCTGGACAGATACACCTGAAACAGTGGTTATCTCTGGATAGAAGGGTTGGGTATGGGGGTGGAGAAGAGACTTTATACTTCTGGTCTGTTTTTACTGCTTTTTCATGAACACATATTACTTTTAAAAATTGAAAAATGAATTTTAAACAATTCTATACACAGAAGTACATAAAATGGAAAATTAGTAAAGGCCATTGAAAAGGGGCAGTTATCTAAGTCCTTCAGATGCAGGCACCCTCACAAGGCCCTGCAAAAAACAAAACAAAACAAAACAAACAGGCCCTTGTGTTTTCTGCGGTGGTCCATGAAATCAGAGACTTGTCTATTTTGCCTATCACTGTATCCCTACTGAGGAAATGGTTCCCTGCAGTCCCACTGCTACCCGATTCTTCGGGACCCTAAAGGTTTTGCCTTACGTCTGTCTGGCTAGGGTAGCAAACATCCCCTCTTCAGAGAAGCCTTCTGTGATTCTTGTAGCCCTCATTGGTCCCTTCTTTTCACTCCTATTACAAAAAGTTCCTTGCTTCAGGGTTGGTGCCTATCTGCCTTTTATTTTTATTGACTGAATTCTTTTTCTCCCCAGGTGGTTGATGGTAGGAAGCGGTCTTCAGCACAATCACAGCTGCTCCAATCATAGTGTTTCCTCTGTTACCCTGCAGATTGCTGATAAGGAATAAGAGTTTTACTTTTCTACCGAGATTGCAGGTATCTTCTTTGTGCAGTAAGGTAAAGGGGAGAAGCTCACACAGAATGTGTCAAATTGCATGTAATGGGACATTCCTGGACAGTAGCTACAACTCTCCTGGGAGATCACTGCTTCAGGACAGAGTCCCGACTTCTCAGCCTTAAGTATGAGGACCCATATGCACGCTCAGCCTGCCAACACACACACACACACTCAGAATCCTCATCTGCGGCCACTTTCTGGTACACACCCATACTCCAGCTTCTTCCTGAAATGCACAATGTGTTTGTATACCATGATAATAACTTATCCCAACTGTGGTTCAGTGGCATCCAGAATGCAACTAACCCATATTCATTTTCTCCTTCCTTTGCGTTTTGACTTAATAATGCTTGACTCTAAATAATTTCTCCCATAGAAGGAGAAAAAAATAGTCCAGCAAGATAGTTGGAGGATGGGCAAACCCCAGCCGTGTCTTACAATCCTATGAGTTTGTAGTGTTCGATGTTATTGCCCATTAAATTTTCTCTGGGGTGTGCCCCATGTGAGTCACTGTACAACGCCTAACCTAAATTGTAAACAAAAATGAGTATTTGCTTTCCTTACATATATGGAAGAGAATCGTTAGGCTTACAGAGAAAAAGAGAGAGTTGTGGTTTAATGTTTAATTTTTGGTTTTGCTGGTAGAGGATGAAGTATACTTCTTTTTTTTTTTTTGGCGGTACGCGGGCCTCTCACTGTTGTGGCCTCTCCCGTTGTGGAGCACAGGCTCCGGACGCGCAGGCTCAGCGGCCATGGCTCACGGGCCCAGCCGCTCTGCGGCATGTGGGATCTTCCCGGACCGGGGCACGAATCCGTGTCCCCTGCATCAGCAGGTGGACTCTCAACCACTGTGCCACCAAGGAAGCCCTGAAGTATACTTTTATTCCTCCTATTTTTAGTTGCACCTCAGCATTCAGGCATGCAATTTTCTGAAGTTTTGTCCTTATGGTCTAATTGGGAATTCTCCTATGATGTTCAAATTATCTCTTATATTAACTCTTGATTTACTAATTAGCTTTTAGGCACAAAGAGAGGATTAAAAAGCTGCAGAGATAAACTGCTCCAGAATAATGTATACAACACACAAGCAAGAAAATACATCAATCCCATTCACAGAGAGCATGTGCCTAAGGTATGTGAAGTTCTCTACGTAGCAAACATCAGGAAATGATACCAACGGCTGTTGGACTGACATGTTGTGATCTGGCTACTTACTGTGTATCACCCTGGCTTCAGAGGTAGTGAAATGTGGCACATCAT